AGAAGGTTCCGATGGCAAGATCCAGCCTGGAGAAGACCTGGCTGTTCCATGAAATTGGCCGATGTTACCTCGAGCTGAACAAAGCTGAAGCAGCCCAAAATTACGGACAGAAGTCCCTGCAGTCGGCAGAGGAAGAGGGAGATGTGGAGTGGCAACTCCACGCTACCGTCCTGGTGGCACAAGCAGAAGGTAAGGGGTGGGTACAGCTCTTGCCCTGAGGACGGAGCGGGGCTGGCCGTTCAGCGTCTTAGTGAAAACAGGGCTGTGATTTAAGAGCCAAAGTAACTGTTCAGATCAAGACCTCTCATCAAGACCGCCTGATTAACTATTGTTGTGCACCTGATCTTGTGTCGAAACAGATGTTTTCATTTGTCTTTTGCAGTAAAATTAAAGGATTACCGGTCTGCAATCATAAGCTTCGAAAAAGCACTTGAGAAGGCAAAGCTTATTCACAATGAAGCCGCTCAAAAGGCCATCGTTACTGTAAGTGGCTCGCTGCAAGGAGGAGGGAAGCTTGGGGCAGCATCGGTGTTAGCTGTAACGATTGTCGGCTGTCCTGTGACTCGGGCAAACACCACTACGAAGCTAGTGCCTTAAGGGGGGGAAACGCAGCCGCTGAAGCAGTTTACCTGTTAAAAGTTATGAAACCTCTTGGCTCAGAAAATTTAACCCCCGTTTTGAACCAGTCCAACTTACACAAGGGTGAAGCCCAAGCCCTGCTCAGGTCAAGGGAAAATTGTCTTTTGACCTCCCCGGGGCAAGGATTTCGCACAGAGAACGCAGCAGTGCCTTCTCTGTCTTCAGCTGCTTGCTACCAGCTGCTGCTCACAGCTCACCCTCTTCTGGCCTCTCCAAAATGTCCCGGAGAAGCCACTGTGCATCAGACCACGGAAGAACATCTGGGCACGGCCAGCGACCCGCGCTAAAGCAGCCGGCGTGTTCTGGTAGCCTGCCTTCACCGGCCCGACAGCGGGCGGTGGGTGATCCGCCCCGGCCCGGCTTGCCAGGCCACGGAGCACAGACACCTACCTGTCCGGTGACCCCTCGCGGGCGTCCAGAGCTCAGGCACGGCCTCTTCTCCTGCCAGAAGAAAAACGGTAGTGAGAGAGACGGAGTCCTTGGGGCAGGAGTCATTTGATAAGGGCCACTAGCAGGTAGGAATCACCGGAGGGAGAATCGAAGCGTACTGTTGGAGAGAGTTTTACAGTAGGTAATGACAGCAGAAATCAAAAGAAAATGGGAAAAATGTAGGTATGTAACCGCATTTCTAGAGCTTTTATTAATAAGCCGTATCACTTTCAGGCCTTAGATGATATCAGCAAAAGCTTCATCGAAGAGCTGAACGAAAGAAGTGAAGAAGCAACGGTTTACTCCCTTAAAGGTAGCGGTCGTTGAGACCTCTGCACCCCACAAATACAAAAAGTCTCCGCTTTCCTTTCCTGGAGCGCAGACCGAGGCAGGGGAACAAAGCACCCCCTTCCCAGGCAGCGAGCACCCGGATTTCTGGCCCACATTGCATCCTCTGCGCTAGCGCGCAGCAGCAGGAAATAGCGTAGTTATGATTTGTGGCTTCAGTTTTTTGGTGGCGAAGGTTTGATCTTGAGCTGGTACAAACCAGTGAGCGATGGCAACGAAGCCTTGGTACCAGAGAGGGAGCCTGGTTTCACTCTTCAGTGCCACCCATTTAAAAACCCGGTTTTAGTAACACCGAAAGCAGCTCCGGCGCCCAGAACGCAGAGCGCTGGCCCAGAACGCAGTCAGCAGCAAAACGCGACTGTAAAAGCGACGGTGAATAAGGGAGAGCCGTAGCGTGGAGGCCGTCAAAAACATCGGCTGCGCCTTACAATTCACGTAGCGGGAAAGCAGGGATGGAATGAAAATCTTCGTAAAGGCCCTGTGCTCCCACGGCTGCGCTGCCGGGCAGGGGGTGGCGGCACCTCCCGAGCGGCCCCGGGGAGCCCCGGCGTGGGGAGGCAGCGGTAGCGGGCCCACGCGTGGGGAGGCACTTGATCTCTCGGTGCTGGAGGCCAGGCTCCCAATCGCTTCTTCCTCCCCAGATGATGACTGCAGCAGCGAAAACACAAAAGACAACTTTGAGAAGTACAGAGAGAGACGGAGAGGCGAGCGGAGCGCAGGGAACCAAGATGGAAAGCAAAAAGAAGATGTCAAGAACTCTAAAGAAGAACGCGGACGCCGTAAAGAAGGGGGAAGCGAACGAGAAAGCAAAGAGGACGGGAGCAGAGGGGAGAAGAAGGGAAGGGACGGGAGGAGGGCAGCGGAGGGGGTGAGGGACAGCCGGGCCCGGCCCGGGGAGGCGCAGTGAGGCGCCGGGCTGCGGCCAACAAGAGCTTTTCCCCGCAGCCGCCCTCGCTCTCTCGTCCCTGCGGGCTCCGTGCGCTGCCCCCGGCTCCGCG